CTCTGTGCCGTCCAGAGACCCCTGTGCCTGCTCTGTGCCGTCCAGAGACCCCTGAGCCTGCTCTGTGCAATCTAGAGACTCCTGAGCTCAATAATGAACTATTCCCTGAAATAGAGCTCTGTGAGAGTTCTTCTTCAAGGCCACTCCGAGGGCACTCCTCATCGTCAAGGCCCCTCCGTGGGTGCTCCTTGTCTTCAAGGCCCCTCTGTTCGCGCTTCTCGTCTTCAAGCCCCCTCCTTGAGCTTCCCTTGCCATCTGTGGTGCCTCTTTGTGAGTTGACAACGGCTCCACTTCAAGGGTCTCAAACTGGACCATCTCTTTGAGGGTCTCAAGCCATGTTGCCTCTTCGATGGTCTCAAACTGCACGGCCTCTTCGGGGGTCCCAAGCTGTGCTGTCTCCTTCAAATTTCCTGCTGCCGAGACAGCGGCCTCCAGATTTCCTGCTGCTGAGACAGCAGCCTCCAAGGTTCATCCTGCCGAGAAGCCAGCCTTCAAGCTTCCTGCTGCCAAGACAGTGGCCTCCAAGTTTCCAGCTGCAGAGATGGCATTATTATCTACTCTCATGATATGGAGTCCCACAAGAAACATGTCAGATCTGTGTTGGTGCACCTCCTGCAGAATCAGCTGTTTCTTAAGGCTGTGAAGTGTTAATTTCATGTGTGAGCACAGTTATTGACTGGCCTAAATACAGAAAGCAGTTGCAGAGATCCTTAGGGTTTGCAAACTTCTCCTGAAGTAGAAGTTTACACGTTTATACCCCCCATGTACAATTCAGGAACCTTCCACAGCAGAAATTGTGACTTTATTCCGAGTGACACTTGATAGTTTAGGATTAGTGGTTAGGGAGCGGTTTGGGAATCAGCCCTGCTGGTGTGTCATGTTCATGTTGTGTGTCATAATAAGTGCCTTGAAACATGTCATTATCAATTGAAAGCAAACGTAAATGACGTGTTTTTCTATTGAGCTATATCAGAGTTTTAGATGAAGCATGTCTTAATCTCCAAACAAAATTTAGATTCATATTTTGCCAGAAATAGGGGCAGTGCTTTATATGACACAGTTCTACTTTCCCATTAACCTTTATCATATCATGCAATAGAATGACTGATATTTTGAAATAAGTCAACCATCATGGAAACTGTTAAGGTCCATTTGTGCAGTTTTCTACATTCACCAGAAATGTGAACTTTTCTAAAATAACAAAGTAAAAATGTTATATTTTCTAATTAAACTCTTAGCTTAACTATTTTACACTGATGCTGTAAGTTTTCCTGTATATACTTATCTTGATTGATTGATTTTTTGGTTGAAGAAATCAGTTAATTAATTTGGTTTTATGTAAATACAAGTCTCATCCAGTATATTATAAATCTCCCCAAAACTACTAAATCTAATCATGTGTCTTTCACAGAAATTTCAGAAACAGGTTTTTGCTTACCTATAAAAATGCATGCTTTTTCCTACAAAGACTGAACTGAATCTGTGC